TATATATATATATATATATATATATATATATATATATATATATATATATATATATATATAAAACTCACACCCCAGAAGTGACTCGAACCCATACTCCCAGAAGCAACGCAACTGGTATGTACAAGACGCCTTAATCCACTTGACCATCATATATATATATATATATATATATATATATATATATATATATATATATATATATATATATATATATATATATATATATATATATATATATATATATATATAGTGATATATAGTGATATATATAAAGTGATTTTAGTAAAATATGGCACTGCACATGAAAGAAATCAATACTGACACACTTATATGGATTCTATACACACTAACCCGTAAGTTATTATATATAATAACTTACGGGTTATATATAATAACTTAATATATATATAACTTAATATAGTTATATATATATAACTTATTATATATAATAACTTAATATAGTTATATATATATAACTTATATATAATAACTTAATATATATATATATATATATATATATATATATATATATATATATACACACACACACACACACACACACACACCAGTACCAGTGATGTTTATTGTGTACATAAATGATCTACCAGTTGGTATACAGAATTATATGAACATGTTTGCTGATGATGCTAAGATAATAGGAAGGATAAGAAATTTAGATGACTGTCATGCCCTTCAAAAAGACCTGGACAAAATAAGTATATGGAGCACCACTTGGCAAATGGAATTTAATGTTAATAAATGTCATGTTATGGAATGTGGAATAGGAGAACATAGACCCCACACAACCTATATATTATGTGAGAAATCTTTAAAGAATTCTGATAAAGAAAGAGATCTAGGAGTGGTTCTAGATAGAAAACTATCACCTGAGGACCACATAAAGAATATTGTGCAAGGAGCCTATGCTATGCTTTCTAACTTCAGAATTGCATTTAAATACATGGATGGCGATATACTAAAGAAATTGTTCATGACTTTTGTTAGGCCAAAGCTAGAATATGCAGCTGTTGTGTGGTGCCCATATCTTAAGAAGCACATCAACAAACTGGAAAAGGTGCAAAGACATGCTACTAAGTGGCTCCCAGAACTGAAGGGCAAGAGCTACGAGGAGAGGTTAGAAGCATTAAATATGCCAAAACTAGAAGACAGAAGAAAAAGAGGTGATATGATCACTACATACAAAATAGTAACAGGAATTGACAAAATCGACAGGGAAGACTTCCTGAGACCTGGAACTTCAAGAACAAGAGGTCATAGATTTAAACTAGCTAAACACAGATGCCGAAGAAATATAAGAAAATTCACCTTCGCAAATAGAGTGGTAGACGGTTGGAACAAGTTAAGTGAGAAGGTGGTGGAGGCCAAGACCGTCAGTAGTTTCAAAGCGTTATATGACAAAGAGTGCTGGGAAGACGGGACACCACGAGCGTAGCTCTCATCCTGTAACTACACTTAGGTAATTACACTTAGGTAATTACACACACACACAACTGCCAATCCACAAGAAGTTGACATAATAGCACTAGAGATCTGCTATGAGGATGATAAACTAATGATGATAAATGCATATAGTCCACCGCCAAGCAGCACATGGTCAAAGGAGGAGCTAGATAGTAAACGTGAAGGTCTTATAACAATAATGAGAGAGATTATAGCCAGAGCGGATAACGATAGATCACGACTGTTGATAGTCGGTGACTTCAACTTGAAATCCATAGACTGGGAAGCATATGAAGCTAAAACAGAAGATTTTTGGACCTGTAAATTTGTAGACCTCATCCTGGAAACATTCTTGTATCAACATGTTAAACAAGCTACGAGGATGAGGGAAGGGGACGTTCCCTCCATGCTAGATTTGATATTTACCAGGAAGGAGGAAGAGATATTTGACATTCAGTACCTTCCTCCCTTGGGTAAAAGTGACCATGTCTTTTTAGGAATAAAGTATGCAATGCGTTATAAGCTGGAAGAAAATAAGGAGGTTGAAGCAGTTGAAAAACCAGACTTCAGGAGAGGACATTATGGTGACCTTAGAATTTTTTTTAGTGAGTATAATTGGACAGACTTGATGCTAGGCAAGGAAGTGAATGAGATGTATGGCAAGTTTTGTGAAATATATGATAAAGGCACAAAAAAATTTATACCAAAACAGAGATGCAGAACTAAGAAACAGGATTGGTTCAATAGAAATTGCGAGAGGGCTAGAGACCGAAAGACACAAAAATGGAATCAATACAGGAAGAGGCCGAACCCCCAAACATACCAGCGATACAAAGATGCGAGAAACAACTACACGGCAGTGAGGAGAGAGGCAGAAAGAAATTTTGAAAAAGGGATTGCGGACAAATGTAAAACAGAACCAGGTCTATTCTATAAATTCATAAACAACAAATTGCAGGTAAAGGATAATATTCAGAGGTTGAAAATGGGAAATAGATTCACGGAAGATGAAAAGGAAATGTGTGAAACACTAAACGAAAAGTTTCAAAGTGTGTTTGTACAAAATGAAATCTTTAGGGAACCAGATACAATAAGAATTCCAGAGAACAACATAGAACACATAGAGGTGTCTAGAGACGAAGTGGAAAAAATGCTCAAGGAGCTCGGTAAGAACAAAGCAGCTGGCCCAGATGGCGTTTCACCATGGGTTCTGAGAGAATGTGCATCTGAGCTCAGCATTCCACTTCACCTGATCTTTCAGGCATCCCTGTGTACAGGAATCGTAGCAGACGGGTGGAAACAGGCTAACATAGTTCCAATCTACAAAAGTGGCAGCAGGGAAGACCCCCTCAATTATAGACCTGTATCATTGACAAGTGTAATAGTGAAAGTATTGGAAAAACTAATCAAAACTAAATGGGTAGAACACCTAGAGAGAAATGATATAATATCAGACAGACAGTATGGTTTTCGATCTGGAAGATCCTGTGTATCGAATTTACTCAGTTTCTATGATCGAGCCACAGAGATATTACAGGAAAGAGATGGTTGGGTTGACTGCATCTATCTGGACCTAAAAAAGGCTTTCGACAGAGTTCCACATAAGAGGTTGTTCTGGAAACTGGAAAATATTGGAGGGGTGACAGGTAAGCTTCTATCATGGATGAAAAATTTTCTGACTGATAGAAAAATGAGGGCAGTAATCAGAGGCAATGTATCGGAATGGAGAAATGTCACAAGTGGAGTACCACAGGGTTCAGTTCTTGCACCAGTGATGTTTATTGTGTTCATAAATGATCTACCAGTTGGTATACAGAATTATATGAACATGTTTGCTGATGATGCTAAGATAATAGGAAGGATAAGAAATTTAGATGACTGTCATGCCCTTCAAGAAGACCTGGACAAAATAAGTATATGGAGCACCACTTGGCAAATGGAATTTAATGTTAATAAATGTCATGTTATGGAATGTGGAATAGGAGAACATAGACCCCACACAACCTATATATTATGTGAGAAATCTTTAAAGAATTCTGATAAAGAAAGAGATCTAGGAGTGGTTCTAGATAGAAAACTATCACCTGAGGACCACATAAAGAATATTGTGCAAGGAGCCTATGCTATGCTTTCTAACTTCAGAATTGCATTTAAATACATGGATGTGATATACTAAAGAAATTGTTCATGACTTTTGTTAGGCCAAAGCTAGAATATGCAGCTGTTGTGTGGTGCCCATATCTTAAGAAGCACATCAACAAACTGGAAAAGGTGCAAAGACATGCTACTAAGTGGCTCCCAGAACTGAAGGGCAAGAGCTACGAGGAGAGGTTAGAAGCATTAAATATGCCAAAACTAGAAGACAGAAGAAAAAGAGGTGATATGATCACTACATACAAAATAGTAACAGGAATTGATAAAATCGACAGGGAAGACTTCCTGAGACCTGGAATTTCAAGAACAAGAGGTCATAGATTTAAACTAGCTAAACACAGATGCCAAAGAAATATAAGAAAATTCACCTTCGCAAATAGAGTGGTAGACGGTTGGAACAAGTTAAGTGAGAAGGTGGTGGAGGCCAAGACCGTCAGTAGTTTCAAAGCGTTATATGACAAAGAGTGCTGGGAAGACGGGACACCACGAGCGTAGCTCTCATCCTGTAACTACACTTAGGTAATTACACTTAGGTAATTACACACACACACACACACATATTAGGTATATATGGATTAGATAATATGTAATTGATGAGTACATATATTAAAAAGTTTATGTATTATTTTTATTTTATTTTTATATATATACAAGAGTTCTTACATTCTTGTAAAACCACTAGCACACATAGCATTTCATTAATTAATGGATCATTTGTCTAGGTTCACAACTCAAATCCCACTGGAGAGGAAAGATCCAGACACCCTGGCGGAAGTATTCCTCCAGTTTCGGGCAGGTCCTTAATACAAATTTTTATCCGGAATACAACTTGGCAAAGCATTTAACAACTAAGTACCAATTCAATGCTGGGTGAACAAAGGCTACAGTTAAGTGAAGGGACGAGACGTTTCGGTCGTCCATCGGTCCAATCTCAAGTTGATGGTTCAGGACGGACTGAAATGTCGTCCCTTCACCTTCTAGTGTGTGGTCTGGTCAGCTACAGTTAAGGATTGGCGCCCAGCCTGGATACGAACCCAGGCCAAAGAACTCGAGAAGCTCCGAGCGAGTGATTTACCACTGACCACTGCGTTGTGGTAGTCCCCGTGGTAATATAGTATTCATTACCCGTGGTAGATAGTATCCATTACCCAGTGAATAATCAAATTCAATTTATGTTGATATATAACTATAGCGTTCCGCAGCCCAGTGGACATTCATGGCACAGCCCGACTTCTGTAGCAGTAAACTTGCTGCCAGGTAGGTCCTGTCAATTACTGTTGTTGCGATGCAGTTGGCATTTGGACCTTCGCACTATCAGAGCTTACACAAACATTCAAAGGGGTGGCTATTGCACGATGTACGCTTTTAAACATAGGTGAACTTACCATGTTAGTGTAGATTACAGAAAAGCTCCTAGGCCATGGGTGCCTTGTGATGGATGCTGAGGAAGGGTTTTACCGCCTTTAGGTTGCCGCCATCTTGGCCAGGCCCGGCGTGGTTCCCGCCTCCCAACCCCCTCAATACCCTGTATTAACTACATCTTATCACCTTCACCTTCTAAACTCATCAAATATTTCTACAATGATCAAGTATTTCCAGTAATTTTAATATATATATTTGTTCCAAGAAGTATATAATATTGTTTCACGTTTACAAGGAATTTAATAAGCCGCGAGCAGGAATCGGGACGCAGACCAGCTGACGGCTTGTTTACGTTTGTTGTTGGTCAGCCTGGCATCCGCTGATGCAGCTCTCCTTAATTGTTGACTTGATGACGCCCAGGCTGTGGTAATATAATTATCACCTAAGCTGACGCCTGAGTAGAGGTAATGCGATCATCGCCAGTGCTGACACTGTGATGCCACTCTCCTTCCAGACGCCCTGGCTGTCTTAATACAATTATCACCAGTGTTGACACCCTAATAGAGGTAATCCGATCATCGCCAGTGCTGATACAGGCAGGTGCACTCCTTCCTAACACATAAGCTGTTATAATACTGTACAATTATCACCAGTGTTGATGCCCAAGTAGAGGTAGTACGATCATCGCCAGTGCTGACACTGGCGCCTCTACTTAATTAATGACTTACTGATATACAGTACAGGTTGTGGGTAATACACCATCAGTGCTGAATGTACTACTTCTGGCGGAGAACACACACATTAATTACACACTGTTCTCAAGGGCTGGGCATCGCACCCATTTGTGTTACTGACTTTCAGCCATATTGACTACATTGTTGTGCTTTGCAGTTTTGAAAACTTAACATGTCTGAACGTAAAGTTCTCAATAAATACTATCCCCCAGACTTTGATCCTTCAAAGATTCCTAGGGCAAGATGTCCTAGGAATCGTCAGTTTACTGTTAGGTTAATGGTTCCTTGCAATATCAAGTGCTATACTTGTGGGGAGTATATTGCCAAAGGAAAAAAATTTAATGCAAGGAAAGAGGATGTAGAAAACATGACATACCTTGGAGTTCGAATTTACCGGTTTTACATAAAGTGTCCGGGATGTCTTGCTGAGATTTCCTTTAGAACAGATCCAGAGAGCACAGATTACGTTATTGAAGCTGGTGCTCATCGCAATTTCCAAGCATTAAAGTTGGCAGAAGAACAGGCAGCGAGAGAGGAGCGTGAAGCAAAAGAAGAAATAGAATCAAATCCAATGTTACTTTTAGAAAACCGCACTCAACAGTCGCAGTATGAAATGGAAGTATTAGAATCACTTGAAGACCTACGTGAAATGAATGATAGGCATGCAGGCATTGATCTTGGAAAGATTGCAGAAAAGTTTGAAACTGAAAGAAAGATGACTCAAGAACAAATTGAGGAAGTTGAACGACTAGCAGCTCTTCAAGCCCTTGGCTATGAATTGGTAGAAGGACAGATGATAAAGAGAATTCTACCAGAAGAAGATGAGCATGAAAAATTCAAGAAAAAAATAAAAATAGCAAAAGAGTCAAAAGATTCACAAATACCTAATTTATTGTTGAACAATGTAAATAAAGTAAGGAAAACTAGCATGAAATTTAGGTTATCAGGAATTATTAAAACTAAAGTACCACAAGAAATCCCCAAGACAAGCACCAACGCAGTGCAAGATCAGCTGATACTAGACATGCCTCAAACATCCACATCATCTGACCCAAAAGAAGAAAAGAGTAGCCTACTGAACAAAACAAAAATTACACCATTATCAAAAGAATCAGCTGAAGGTATTTTTTCTACCAGATCTTCAGCAGCAAACCTTGTTTTGAAGTCTGGATCCCCAGGGCTTGGTGGACTTTCATTCCTTGGAGTGTATTCTGATTCTGAAAGTGATGAGAATGATAATAGCTAATTGACAGTGTTCATCTTAATGGTCAGTTTATACTTGAATTGATCATTAACATTATATATTACTCTTCTCATTATCTTAGTGGGGAAAACTATTTTAGGACATAAAAGTTAAGCCTTAAATGAGTTTCTTTTCTTATCATTCTGATCTTTTATATAATGTGTGCATCATGCTTGCTTGCTTACATGCATGCATATATATAATTTTAAGTTATTATGGGGCTTCTTCACACCTTTCAGATTTTTTGTTGCCTCAATATTTAACATCAAAATATTTAAATTGCCACATTGCATGTGCACATTAAAACAAAAAATTGCTTAAAATTAAAAAAGTGAAAATAGGAATAAAAAAAAATATATATATTTTTTTTCTGGTTTGGTGAACTTTGCAGTCCCCCATGGTATAGTGGTTAAGACACTCGCCTAGCGTTTCGCGACCGCTTTGTCCTGAGTTCGTATCCTGGCCAGGAAGAGTTTACAGGGTGCCAATCCTTAATTGTAGCCTCTGTTTACCCAACAGTAAAATGGGTACCTGGTTGTAATACGATTTGGCAGGGATGTATTCTGGGAAACATAGGATTAAGGACTTTTCCAAATCGCTGCACATGCTAGTGGCTGTACAAGAATGTAAGAACTCTTGTATATATAAATAACAAAAAAAAATAGTAAAAAGCTGTAGTACAATTGGTTTTGTTCTCGACTCTCAGTTGGGGATCCCAGTTGTGACAGAAATGGTTTGGCATGTTTCCTTTCACTTAATGTCTGTTCACCTACCAATAAATATGTACCTAGGAGTTAAACAACTGTTGTAGGGTTGCATCCTGGAGAACGTTGATAATTTGACCTTGGGAGGGACATCAATACTAGCCTGAAGTACGTATATGCACAAGTTTCTAGTCCCAAGTAAGCAAAACTAATTATTATTGTTGTATCATTCTATTGCAGATGGGAGAGTTTACTGACACAGTACAGAGGGAAAGGATTTGTCAGTTCTCACTTATTAGTTTACAGGATGTAATAATACATAATACTGTACTGTAATTCATTGTGTCGGGACATCCAGCCAGAGTGTATTTACCTGGATGGGGTTCTGGGAGTTCTACTCCCCAAGCCTGGCCCTGACTTGTGAGAGCTTGGTGCAACAGGCTGTTGCTTTGGGCGACCCGCAGGTCCACATATCCACCACAGCTCAGTTGGTCCGGCTCTTCTTGAAGTGACTTCTTCTTGAAGATTTATACACGTTAGGCTTACATCAAGTTCCTTCCCCAGGGTGCAACCCCACAACAAGCTAACACCTGGGCACCTACTTACTGGTAGGTGAACAGTGGTATTAGATTATAGGAAATGCGCTCAACCATTTCTGTCCTGCCCGGAATTCTCTATTGAGCAGCGAGAACAAACCCGACTGTACTACAGGACCCTTTAAAAAGTGTTTATTTTGAATAACTTGGTTTAGAAATACAGTAGGGTGTATATAATTAACAAAAACAATGATTGAGTACTGTTCATAGGCCTGCAATATAAAATGTATTGCAATTGCATGTAAATCTGTTCTTGGCACAGCTCAAAGGAAGGGTCTTGCAACTTGCACCTTCTTGAGATTATCTTGAGATGATTTTGGGGCTTAGCGTCCCCACGGCCCAGTCCTAGACCAGGCCTCCTTTTTATTACACACCCCCAGGAAGCAGCCCATAGTAGCTGTCCAACTCCCAGGGACCTATTTACAGCTAGGTAACAGGGGCATCAGGGTGAAAGAAACTGTACCCATTTGTTTCTGTCTCCACCGGGATCAAACCTGGAACCTCAGGACTACGAATTCAAAGTGCTGTCCACTCATCTATCAGGGCCCCCTTTGCTGTGATTCTATCTGAAAATATCATCCAGGCATGGATTCAGTCTCTGGCAGGGAAAAGCCAAATTGCCATATGAAAATAACTGCAAGCCCATAGTGCAGTACACTGTATCCCTATTTTACCTGAATTTACCCGAGGGCCACTAAAACACTAGTGACTCGATGAGGACAGGAAGCTGGCGACTTGTTAAAGGTCCTCATAATAAGACCCTGGTGATTTTTTCCAGCTGGATTTTAAAATTTAAGTTTTGGCATTAACAGCTTTACTGGGTAGGCATTTCCATGGGTTCATAACCCTATGGGTGAAAAAGCATCTCCTGTTTTCAGTCCTACATTATGGCTTGTTGAGCTTGAAATCATTGTCCCTTGTTTGGGGTTACATCTGACCTCTTGAAGAAATTGTCTAGGTTAAATTAACATCCTCTAAATTGTTCAGTAATTTAAAGGTTTGATAAGATCCCCATCATGCCTGGTTTGCAGTGTTGTTAGTCCTAAGCCTATTATTATTAATTGCTAAGTTAGTTAAGTTGTTGAATAGTAAGCAACAACAAAACAATATTCAAATTTTGCAATAGGCTCTGTTTATCTCCTGATATAGAGCTGTTATAACTATATTAACATAATGCTATACAAGTGAGCAATAATAACAATCAAATGATAATCACATTGGCCAAGGTGCTCAATAAATGATGATAAGCACACATCAAAGGTTAATAAATATTAAATATTTGGTATTTACTGTATTTTGATTGGGGTGTATCTTGTATACTTGCAGAACTGTTTTGATATCACCTTAAGTCTTTTGCTGTTAAGATGACCTCTGTTGCCTCATGAAAAATGGGTCCACAGTGTAACATGTGACTATAATTCATTGTGGATCATTGTAGTAATGATTATAAATCATGTAATATTTGTTCAGGTACTCTAGCCCTTAGAACAGGCACCTTGATCCAGTATATGCTGTCTTATGTTGATAAAATCAAATGTCATGCCAAAAAAAAAGGCACGAATGGCACAAGAAACATTTGCCTATTTGTATATTTTTACATAACACCTTAATTATGTTATTCTGTATATTGTAATAAGTTGTGTACAAATTTATAGAGTAACTGTATATAATATTAAGCATGCTGGAATTGATTTACAAGCTTAGAAATAGTTTTTTAATGTACTGTAAATGTTTAATTCTTGTTAAAAGATTGTTTACATTAATGATTAATATGGAAGAACACATTTTGTTATCATAAAGGTAAAAAATCAGTAAAATTTTTTTCTGTGCTGCATTCATATATTCATATTCATTTGTAATGTATTGCAGTGGTCCATGTCCTCGACTCACAGTTGAGAATCCTGAATTCAATTTTGTGTAATGACAAAACCCTTTTAAACAAAAAAAAATTGGAAGCTTTTCATCATACTGTATTGCATATATTCCATTAAGCAATGCTCTTTTCAAAGAAAATGTTATAGCAATTTAAAACAAATCCATTGGCATTTCTGAGGGGAGCTCCATAGACTCCATGGAGCCTCTGGGGCTCTACCCAGAAAATAGCATTTCATTACATTTAACACTGGTTTTATGGTTATTGGTTGGTTGTAATGACATAGGTTGTTCACTGTATACACTGGAAACACACAGTCTAGTTTTGAGTTACATGGACTGTATTTTCTATTAGAAAATTAATTTTTTTTCTATGAAAAAATTAAAATTGGCAGAAGTAGAAAGAGCTGGTTTTTCCTTACTAGAATATACAAACAAAAAGCCAATACAGCATCAACATTTGGTTTTTAGCATTTTGACCCAAGCCAAGATGTGGACATGGACTTATCAGATACGATGTCACAATGAAATGCTTAAAAACAGGTATTGTACCTGTACTGGCATTTGTTTTGAGTTAAATAATAATAAAAGAAATTGCTTTGGTTAAGAGTACAGTATTATGCAGGTACTGTATATAATACATGTAAATGTTGATCCTGTACGTATTAGGACAATATTTAAAGGTGCTTAAGCTAAGAGTTAAACTTTTAATATATTCATAGCTGCTTAATACCATTATTCAATGCTTTAGAGTAATATATATATTTTTTGCCATTAAATTGTTACTAATTATAAAGTGATTTTCCTTCAGTAAACTCCTAATTTTGCTACATGTTCCAGGAGGATTTGTTTTAAGGTATTGTAATTCCATATAGACTGATTTTAGTAATTTGTGACTGGGTAATTCCTACGACATGTTAAATGTTTGTAGTCTATAAATTGTAGCTCAAGTTCTGTAAAATGTTTAATTACACCTTCCCTCTGTTTATTTCTTATTGCATATTCAGTACTTCTGTATTAACTTAAGATAACATAGTATAATTTTATCTTCATAAGACTGTGAAATATACATTTTAATCAAATTTTTTTTTTTAATTAAACCTTAACTTTGAGCATGCATGCACATATATATATATATATATATATATATATATATATATATATATATATATATATATATATATATATATATATATATATATATATATATATATATATATATTCCCCATTGCTTCTGAGACGCTCAGCGCCTGGGGTAAAAGTGCTACCAGTTTTTTGAAGGAACTGGGTTCTAGGCTCATTGAAACAACAAGGGACCCTAGAGCTGCCAGCTTTCTTTTCCAGCGCCTCAGTGTGGCGATACAGAGGGGAAATGCGCACTGCATCCAGGGTTCCTGCCCGCCATCTGAGGAGCTGGAGGAACTCGACAACCTATGACAACCATCTTTGTAACCCATATGTAACTCCTTTTTTGTAACAAAGTTCAAATAAAGTAAATATATATGTGTACATACAAAAGAATGGGGGTGGTAGGAGAAGATAATATTAGTGTTCAGTGAGAAACCACAAGGTCTCCTCTGAATACTTTTTATTTTCTTCTCCGAGGCTATGGGTCCCCACATTGGCACCAGAGGTGGTACCCTCACAATTATAAAAAAAAAAAAAAAAAAAAAAAAAAAAAATATATATATATATATATATATATATATATATATATATATATATATATATATATATATATATTTATATATATATATATATATGTATGTATGCAAGGCCCGATTTGCTTAATAAGCCAAGTTTTCATGAATTAATGTTTTTTCGACTACCTAACCTAACGTACCTTTTTCGGCTACCTAACCGAACCTAACCTATAAAGATATGTTAGGTTAGGTAGGGTTGGTTAGGTTCGGTCATATATCTACGTTAATTTTAACTCCAATAAAAAAA